AGATTGAAACACAGGTATCAAAACTGAGTTCTGCCACCTCAATTTACACTAACAAAATATGGTAACAAACCTGAACTAAGAAAGAATTGGGGAAAGAACGGTAACATCATAAACTTTTGAAAACAAACTGTCATTATATATGTTGCAAAAATGAAATACAAGTTAGAGGGAGACCGATAGGCAAAAATTGTCGAGTTCTCAAATTTTGGCCTGATAATCAAGTAGTCTTCGATTCAAGTCTTTTAAGGAAGCTTTTCCTTGAGACCAGAAACGTCAGACAGAGTTAATTATTTGAAAAAGCTCTGGAGAACTATTATTGAAATTTCTTGGTAACTTAGAAACTGTTTGGAATCTGCAATCTTTTGCTTAGAATTTAAAATATTCCCTAGCGCGTTGGTTTGAATTAGAATCCTTTTTGCCCAGAGTTTGTCTTTTGTTGAGCCGAAAACTGGCCCAGTTTTTCTTAGAAAGGACTCCTGATTTAGTTTCAAGAGCAGTGAACAAGGAGTGATATCTCGATTGTTACTGGTATTATCGTGCATAATTTCAAGCTTTTAGGATTCATATAGATTGACTTTGGATCCAGGAAATAAGTTCTGCAGTTTGCCCTGTTGTTTGCTTTCCCATTTCATCTAAATTCCAAGATGGCGCAATTTGCTTGTAACGAAGCTATTGAGTTATAACAAATGCCTGCCGCTCTCACTTAGCACTGTTAATTCATCCTAAGCTGATAATCTGTAAAAATCTCGTTCAGTTGAAAGATGGAGAGTTTCAGCATTAGTTAAAAGGTTTCACTCAGACAGTCTTCTGGTGACTTTTAATTGCGTTTTAATTAAAAATCTTTATATGTAAACACGCAGACCCCAATATCTTTATAGCTTCTCTCAGATAGTTCCGCATTGATGTCGTGTATTTATTTCACTAAAAACAAGTTGTCATGGCTTGAAAGGTTATTGTCAGATTCCTTAATCACTCAGAATGTTTCGAGCACAACGAACTGTTTGCCAGTTTCTTAAGGTGTAGGAGTTCTAAACTTCCAAAAGAACCATAAAAGACAACTTCATTCTTGCTAAATGCCGTCTAAGTTTATATTACAACAAACGAATTAATCTCGAAAACAGCAGAATCAGCGTTCGAAAGTGGATATGCTATGAACAATTCGCAGAAAGAATTTCAATACTGCATATTACATAGTTCAATTTAATCGGCCATCGTTATCAAGCTCTGTATGCTCATCAACTTGAGTGTCTTTGAAATAAAATGAACCAAAGATGTTTGAATCCAAGGCAACTGTGAACTGCGACCAAAATAAAGTCAAGAAACGAGTAAACAACTTTAAAACTGGTAAGGCAGGCAACTTAAGATTTGAAAGATGAAATAAGTGCTGCATTGAAAAGGGCTGAAGCTAGGTCAAAGCTTAACCTTGCGCCAACCGCAATGACGAATACTTCTAAAGAGTGTACGCTATCATAAATATCACAGAGACACGCAAAACTTTACTATATTAGGTAAGTATGTTTCGGCCATGAAAATGACTTCCTCATAGCTTGAGCGCACTCTGAAGAGTTTATCTCTTTGAAGAAGGGGAAAATTCATTGGTAAATTTTTGTTGCTCTGTCCACGTTCGCAGTTGAGATGTTGCAAACATTCGTTGTATAAGAGGCCACGAAGTCATGCGGAGCGCTAAGACCCCGCTGAATCGCTTATTATCTGGCAAGGAATGCTTCTAATAATTGCAAGGTCTGTTTATTTTCTATTTTGATCGCCGGAAGAAACTGTCAGAAGGTGTCAATCACACGCTCTGAGTGGTTGGGCCAGTTGAAGGCGGAACTACGACCAGGGTAAAATCACTTTGAAACTTTCTGCTGAGACGTTCGTGAAACGTGATAAAAAAATTCTTTTTGTCATGTAAATACTATTCCCCCTGCTGTTGGTCAAGGTTGCGGGTACCGGAGCGGACATTTGGAAAGAATGTTTCTCTTGCTTTTCACAAGCATCGATGTGCATACAGTGCAAATCAAAATAAATGTCTCCCAAGGATATCTCTAATGATACAAACTGGTAAACGAGATTTATTGCGTATGTAGTTAACAGAGTAACCAAATTAAAATGCAAAACTTCAATTAACAGACACAGTTATTAATAAATCAAAGAATGATGTAAACTGACATAACAATATTGTTGCTTTAATAACTTGACCTTATGTTGCGTGAAACACTTAAATCGTCTTTTGGCGTGACCATCAGCTTCAACCCCCAAAAGATTTGCAGTGTGATGCAACGTTATTGCTTCAAAGTAACACTTCCTTCTCGTTTCGCTTGCTCGATGGCTTCTTGTTAATTCATTACTCCAAACCACTCTTGCTCCGTACTTAAGAAGGCCTTAAAATTGAACAGTCTAAAGAAGTGTCTGGAGTTACTGAAGGAGAACTCAATACGCCGGACCAAACTGAGTCGTTTACCTTCATTGTTACAAGACTTGTTTTGTATTGCAAACATTAGGTGAGTTAGTTGTGAATTTTTGTTTGCATTGACCAAAGAATCAATTTCCAAAAACCTGCACGCTGTTCTCAAGAGTCCAAGGTTCGTCCCTCTTATTACGTCTTAAAATTACGATTTGTAATTAAGTCTAAACATTGAGTATGTAACCGGCGGGTCAACCTATAAAATAACCTTCAAGTCTTATCGTTTACATCACATTAGCTCTTGATGCTTTAATATGCCGGATTTATTCCTTGTTGCTACTTTTTTGGAGAGTTTTGCAAGTTAGAAATGGTACATGTTGCAACAATAGTGAAAGTATTTTGTTGCCTAGCTAGGGGTCACCGAATATGCCTGAACGTGTTTCGTATTGAAAACCGTAGAAACCAACTCTGGAAAGCCACAGGTCAGAATTAGGTTTGCGTTCCACTTCGTCGAACGCAAAAACTTTCGAACTTTCGGCTGTCAGACTACAGCC